AGCTTGCTAGCATAATTTGTGTGCTTTGTGGCAAAGTGACGGCTAATATTATACTCTTTAAAAACCGCCACAGTTTCTTGGCATATCAGGCAAACAGCAGATGATCGGTGTTCAGTGAAAAAATATTTAGTTGTCCACTCCTTTTTGAACACTCGACATTCTCTGTCCACTTTCCTTTTCTTGGGTCCGCTCATCTTCATAGAGGGGCGGTAGGTCACAGGGTAAAGTGCAAACGTGGAGTAATAGGCCTACGCCGCTTCACCTCAACAAAGCCAATATATCTAGAGTGCGCCATCTAGTGAGGAAACATCAGAATTGCAGGGGAAATAAAACATTAACAAGGTTAATTTATTACTTTTTTTTTTCAAGTTTGGCGGGCCGGATCAAAACGTTTAACAGGCCGCACGTGGCCCCCGGGCCGTAGTTCGCCCATGCCTGGTGTGGCCTCTAGAATCACTCTCATCGCAGGGCATCAAAACCAACATGGCAGACGGCGCCGACGACAGAAACACACGAGCTGGTAGTTCGGCACACGGGACATTAAGAGGAGGAACGATGCGTTAAAGCCATGTAGAGGCGACCTGCCCCTGAACCTAACAACGTCAGTGACTCCTTCATATCACGTCCGAGATTCTTTGTCATGACCTCAGTCAGTCCAACTTCAACTCGGCCGCTGCCAAACCTTCGTATTTTTCGATCAGAGGTTGGGGAGGTGGGAAGGCTCAGCCCCGTTCCAGGTTTCCTCTGTGCGTGGATAACAGCTCTCACTGTGGTTCTCTGGAGCCTTAAAAAGTCTCTGTGACCGACTGATGGTGTCACTGACTGGGTCGCGGCGTGATGTGCTGCTGTTTGAGATCTTTCAGCCTGCTTCACTTTATTTTTTTCAGCAGGTGTGACAGAGATCAGGTCTGGATTGTGAAATTGAACTCTGCATGTTGCATTTACTTGGTTATCTTTTGTCTTAAAGTTTGTTCGATGAACTGAAACAACATGAAAGTAAGAAATCAGAATGTGGCCAAATCCTTTCTTCACAGCCCTGTTTCTAAGGTTCAGCATGAATCACAAGTTTATCAGTTTGTATCTTGCTTCATATTTGTGATATTTGGGTTTTATTCTGACTTGCAGACACCAAAAACCTACATCAGGTTTAGGAAAGGCCCAACGTTAAACAAGTATAACCTGTACTTACATTTCATTTATATATTTTAGCATCCTCTCCTTCATTATTTGAGTGTTTTGTTAAAGTACTAGAAATACTAGATAATTTCCAGTCTGAGCTAGAAAAACAAGAACGACAGTGAAACGTTCGACCAAGAACTCGTGATTAGGATCTCCAACTCGAGCCAAGAATAAAACCTCAACGTGATTTCAGGGAAACTACAGAACACAGGTCGTCATAAAACCGGTTACCCGACCAGCTGTTACTTGACATGATTCTTCTTCACTCACTATGTGTTAACAGACCTCTGTTATTAACCTCTGTCTCTCTTCCACAGCATGTCTTTATCCTGTCTTCCTTCTCTCTCCCCAACCAATCACAGCAGATGGCCCCGCCCCTCCCTGAGCCTGGTTCTGCTGGAGGTTTCTTCCTGTTAAAAGGGAGTTTTTCCTTCCCACTGTCGCCAAAGTGCTTGCTCATAGGGGGTCACATGATTGTTGGGTTTTCTCTGTATGTTATTGTACGATCTACTGTACAATATAAAGCGCCTTGAGGCGACTGTTGACTGATTCAACTGTATAAATAAAGTTGAATCGAATTATTTCAGGTTTCGTTTCTCTGCGTGTCTCCAGTTGGCAACGCAGACAACTCTTTACAAAAAGGACGTCAGTCTGCCGCTGTTCGACTGTCCCCTTTACAACATGAACCCAGCACATCACAAAACTGTAACTTATTAAAGTTCATAATCATTATTTACCTCACACAGGGTCTCACAGCCCCTCAGTTTATCCTCCATTTGACATGAGCTGTCGAAGCTGCTCTCTCTTTACACCAACTTGTCTTTATGATTGGCTTCCCCTCATAAACAGAAGGCCTGACCAGCAGGTGGGTGGGTCTTCTGACCACATCTCTCCCACTCATCCAGCTTTGGAACAGGATGTGTTTGACAGAAAATAAGGAAAGGTGGAGTAGATCCCCTCTGAAATGTAACAGGAGGAGCTGGGAGTTGGTAAAAGTGACTCTTCTCACCAGTGTAACACCCAGTTCACAGATGACAGTACTGGGATGAATTTTCGGTGCTTTCCTGGCACTTCTCCAGGCTGCTGAACCTGATTGAACGTCGCTTTGCCTCTGAGACAAAAGTCTGGAGAAGTGGTGGAAAAGTTCACATCTAACTAACTTTGGGTTGGGGCTCATCTCACCACGTTACCCGACGATCCAGGATAGCCGTCATTAAAGCTTTCAAACCCTGCAAAACAAAAGGAGCGCAGGAGCACGGGACTCCATACGTCGTTCGTGGTGCAGATTTATAACCCGCCTGAAACATTTCCTCCCCGTCCTGGAGAAAATGATGTTTTGCACCAATCTGTTCCAAGGCCGCTCAGAGGAAAATGGTCGAACGTAAAATCAATCAGGTTTGGTCTTCACCAAACAAACAGCCACGGAAGCGCCGAGCTCTCCAGAAAGAAAGGGACGCAATCGCTTTCCTTCTCCAGCACGTGCCAACCAGCGTAAATAAGACTTTACTCTACGGACCGGCACATTCCCCCGAACGATCTTCCTTAAAACGAGTGCCAATTACAAGCCCGAGTCGGCCTCGCCCGCAGCGTAGTCGCACGTTTGAAATTTAAATCCGAGGCGGCCTCGCAGGATGATAGACGCGGCTTTACGAGAGATTTGAACACAATCCCCAGTGATGAGGTGAGGCGATACAGATCACTTTCACATGTGGAGGACTCGCTATCTGCTGCTTTGAGGAAAGATCCCCCTCTTCTTCAAAGGGCTGCCACGTAAACGGGTGGTGATTTAAGATTGGAAGACAAACAGAGAAAAAGGCAGAGACGGGAGGAGGGCTGAGGTGCACTGAGCTGATAACGCCACAAAAACAGCAGATCGAGTCTAAATGTCAGAGAGATTCTGCACTCAGGTGAACTTTACACAACCAGTGTCCCCATTTCCCTTTCCATCTGTATATGGCTGTGCAGCTGTGTGATGCTGCTCTGCCTCCCCTCCTCCAGAAAGAGGCCTCTTTATGCATTCAGCTACAATATAGGGGCTCAAAGTGAGCAGCACTCAGACTCAGATTAGGCTAAATTATGGTTCGGAGCTGCTGTGCTCCGTGCACCGACAGGAACACACTTTTAGAAACATCTTTTCCTACAAAAGCGCCGACTCTTGAGCAGAGAGGAGCTGCCATCCGGGCAAAATCACAGAGGAGGACTCGTCTTCCTGCCTCCTGTCACAGATTGCCTCAAATAACAAAAAATTAGGGGGAAAATGACAGAATCATCGTCACGCCATCAAACAGCTGGAAAAGGCTGTTAAATCTGTCAATTTCATTGTGAAATCTCAGTTTTGTGGGTCTCGGAGCAGCTGGAGGGACTGCAGCTTCTCCAGTTTGAACAGGTTGAATCAGTGTATGTGACGCTCACAGGAACATCGATGGAGCGGCGGACGTCTGGGACTGAGGACGGACGGCTGAGACATTCCGGCTGCACTCGGATGCAAAAACTTGTGATTCTCCAGCGAGATTTGTCTAATGAGCAGCGAAGGCTCTGTGTGCGTCGGTGCTCTTTCGATGGACCACACTCGCTGTTTGTTATGTTTGGTTCACTCGGAGCAGAATCCGCCGCGCACGAAGCGGATGTGGGAATCTGACTTACCTGGAGACGAGACCGGGGCGTCCGGCCGAGTCACAGTTTTCAGTCGAAGAGTCCAAACTCGAACCACGAGCATCCTTGTTGTTTTATTCAATGTTCATGGAGTCAAGAATTTCGAGACTTAGAGGAGCTCTAATTAATATTCTACCTTGGGCAAAAGACTCATAGACCCCACTGTGGTATTAGTTCATCTTATCTTATCTTATGCACCACAGTGCGGTGGCCATCGTTTGCCTGCACACAGAATACGCAAAAAATCCATATAAATGCAAAACTCACCACTCCCCGAGTTAGCAGACTTACAATCCTTCCTTTGTCCAGATCTTAGACGGATGGATCAATGGACCGACCAAACTTTCCAATCACAACTTGTATAGCAAAATCATCAAAAGTGATTTAGCCTCCAAACCGGGAGGAACATACTTAGTTTCTAGTTAAAACTTAAAAGTCACTTCCAGAAATCCTTTTAACGGACCGAGTGTCCGTTTAACAAAAGGAAAACACTGGAAGAAAACGTGCATACATCCCTGCTTTAATGTGTTTCTGACTTTGAGGCTGCAGTGTGTTATCACAGCTATAATCCAACTGTTAGACCAACGGCTCAGCTTTGATAAAAAAAATTATATTAGTTTTATAAGTGACTCATCTCCTTGTACCCGTGAAATGTCAAATAAAGAGCGCTCCTATTGTTCTCGCTGCGCTAAGCTTTCCAAAGCAGCCGCCATCTACAGAGAGACACACAACAAAACAAATGTTGGGAACACGTTCCCCATCAGAGCTAGCAAACTTTTTAAAATACCGCAGCCGCTGTTAATCACAGCGTTTCGTGGCTTCGTTTGATTTCTCCAGCAGATATTTGTTATCTGTCACTTTCAGATCATTCTGACACGCTGGTTTTTTGTTGTCCTTTTCTTGCAGGTATTTTGTTCAAACACGTCTTTATACTCCGTGATGGTGTTGAATATGAGGCTGTGAAAAGGTTTCTGCATCAACACAAACCCAGCAGCTTAGCTGTGTAGCCGTAGAGCGACTTCTGAGACTCGTCCACACAAAAACAAACATACACGTGAAACGTGAGTGAAAGACGCACCGGGGGTTTTGTTTACATCATCACCGTCCGATAATTTCTCAACAAAACAACCATTTCATGCACACGTGTGTCGTTTGGTTTATTTACTCACACAACAGACACGATGTCACCTCGTTGGACCTGGTAGTTTCTCACACTCCAACGATTCAGCAGGACGACGTCACACTTGGACCCCCCCTCTGGGTTGAGGAATGGCTGAACACAGAACCACAAACACAGTTTATAGAAAATCACTGTTCATAGATGTTATGTGTACAATCTTTGCAATGACAGGAACCTATTAGTTAAAAATAATCTCAGTTCTTATGGTCTTCTCCTGGGGTAGCACTAAACTGACTGGGAAAACAGCTCAAATCTGGCTGATAGCAAGACAACAGTTTGTGGGTGTGGCCAAAAATCTCTCACGTTCAGAACCCAGTCTTTGTCTTCGGTGCAATTTTGAGATCTATGGTCAGAACAGGAAGCCGTTGAAAAGTAGCCGCCGAACAAGAAGACTAGATTGGAGGGAGAGCAGCCGAATTAAAAATCAGGTATGGTTTGTGACAGCGGTCCCCAACCTCGAGTCGTTCGGTAGCAGGCCGCGAGAGTTGAGGTTCGGGTGTGAAATTTATGGTTTTCAGCGTTTTTACCGTTATTTTTTATCACTTTTATCGTTACCTCAGTTTCCCTGGGTCTTTTCCCGTGTGTTATGAATACATTTTCTTTTTTTTGTACTGGTACTGGTTTTATTTTGCTGTATTTATCTGCGACCCCTTAAAGGCCAGTCTGTGAAAATATCGTAGGACCGGTGTGTCGCGCAAAAAAGATTGGGGACCGCTGGTTTATGATTTTAGTTTAACTTGACCAGAACGTCACTTTGTGGGAGAAGACGAGCACACAGGGAGCCAAGCCTGGTGAGGTTGGGTTGCTTTTAGATGTACACTGCGCAGGCGAGAGATGGCATCAACATGGTCCGGGTCATTTCTGCATAAGGTTCTCCCACGGGCAACCCCAGGGCGCGAACTCAGGACTCTGTGCAGTCCAAAGAAACAAGCAGCATTCAGCTGCTCACACACTGGAGCTAATGGACCATGCGTGGGTTTGAGAACTGTAGACTCTCCTACTGAAAACTCCTCCATGGTTGGATCCAGAGACTGGACAAGGGCTGTCACAGCAACCGCATGAAAAAGTCCATATGACACGTGAGAGTCCTGTTAGTCTTTTACATGATGTATTCACTGTTCGAGGGAAAGTTTTCCCTTTTCCATACGAGTTGGCAGTAACATCTAAACTTTCCCCCATCTCTTTCTGCAATCCCAGAATGACTCCACGATGCTGAGATCGGGGGCTTTGTGGGGTCCACACCATCTGTTCCAGGACTGCTTGTTCTTCTCTGCTTGATGATAGTCCTTTATCACTCTGGATGAATGTTGGGGCTCATTGTTGTGCTGCACAATGCATCCGAGATGATCCCACGCGTCCCCGACGGATAGGAATCTGAGCATCAGATGCATATAAACTTTTTGCACAGCAGTGTGCATTATCTACAGAAATTATCTGGTCTCCCGCAGAGTAAACAGCAGGCACCGTGCTCTCACACAACACATCAGCACAACCGGTAAATAGAAAGGGAGACACACATCCGTTGGCGAGAAACGTGATGTTTACGCAGGGCAAAACTTTTATTTGGTTTGCTTTAACAACTGGCGATATCCACACACCCCCTACAGAATCCCAACATTGACCCCCATGAGGCCGTTCCTCCTCAATATTCACCCGGTAACACAATTATAGATGTGTTTGCTAAATCTTTATTCAGATTAAAATGTTAACGTTTACCCAGAGGTCAGTGTCAGGGGGTTACCTACATAAAAAGGTTTTCTCATCTGAAGGCTGGGCACTGTTAACAGTTCAGGGTCAGCTCTAAGCAATAAGAGCAGAAAGACACCAGACCTACAGACTCCATGTAGGGGTTTAAGGTCGTTGGTATACTGTCTGAGATAGTTTCATTATTCTCATACTGCCTGTAAATCATCTGCTTCATGGATGGCACCAAACAGCACATCTCCATCCTCTGCAGCATCTTCACTAGGGCTGCCACAAACGATTATTTTGATAGTCGACTAGTCACCAATTATTTCTGCGATTAGTCGACTAATCAGCTCATCATCCATTGGACGTAAAACATACAGCTTATTGCACCAGCAGCATCTGCTCTTATATAACTATCATTAGCTTACAGCTTTAAGTGTTTAAGGTCTGTGCTAACTAACAATAAAGACAAGATGATAGTTTGTTAAATTTTAATGAAATTTGCAGATTGTTTCGGTGAAGTTTAATAAACTCCTTGCTATCTAAAATATAACAGGACACCGGAGTATAGTATAAATGGCTTATATCAGCATGTGCTGACCACTCAGTGCATTTTATCGACAACTTTAATATTTTTTGGGAACGCAGGCATCTGTTCAAAGCAAATGGATTTAATTTTAACAAGTCAGGGGTGAAACTGTTCACCTCCAACTTGTTTTATTCCATACGTCATCCATCTGTGCTTGGTGCCAAGGCTGAGATAAACGAAGAGTTATCTCATAAAGAGGAACAAACAGTACTCCAAGAACAGACAAAGCCCAGCAGAAACCTTGAGGAGGAGCTCCATTTGCCCCCACCCGGGAAGAGCCTCAGAAAGGAGAGACATCCATGGCATCTGAGGAAGAGCCTCAGAAAGGAGAGACATCTGAGGCAAGAAGAGGGGTCCCTATTTGCCTACAACTCTCTCAACAACACCAACGACCAGGACCAGGGACCACGACCTTCCCCAGTCCCCCAAACCCCTGACAGGCCATCACCCTCCTCCCCTCCCTTTCTCCCTCCTCCCCACACCTGAAATTCACTGAGGAGATGATGGAGCGGGTCAATGCTGGGCTCAGATCTACCCCCGTCCCAATCCCTTTTTGTCCCCCATAAACCCCCACCAGAGCGGCCAAAGGTTCGCCATCGAGCCCCACCCTCAACAGAGCAATCGAAGTCACATTGCCCAGCCTCGCCCCCTTAGTTCCTCTTCATGCCCTGTCTCCGCAGTCTGATATGTGATATGTGAAGGGTCCGGGCTGTGAGGATTATGGCAGTGATGACTTTTCCCAGGAGAAGCTGGGACCCTGTTTACTAGAAGGTTTTAAAATTTCTGTACTTTTAGGTGACAGGAGACATGTGGCCTGGTCAAAACACAGAGAGCTGCACTCTAAAAGATCTTTAAACATAGTAAACATACCTTGTGTGCCACAGACTGCTCCCAAACACGAGGGGACAAGTAATACCTCTAAAACACTTAAGTTGGCTTTATTAAACATTAGATCTCTAGCTGGGAAAACATTTTTAATTAATGATTTAATCACTGAGCACAGCCTTGATTTTATGTTTTTAACTGAAACTTGGTTGGACCAAAGTAACAGTGGAGCTGTTCTCATCGAGACGACCCCTCCTAACTACAGTTTTATCAGTGAGGTCAGGCCGAGCAGGAGAGGAGGAGGGGTTGCTGTCTTATTAATGAATCATTTCAATGTAAGCAGCTATCTCCTGGAAGTTTTCAGTCTTTTGAATATGTGGCTTTACAGCTGAAGGCCCCATCCAAAGTTGTGTTTCTTAATGTTTACAGGCCTCCCAAATACTGCACAGACTTTTTTAATGACCTTAGTGAACTGCTGTCTGTGATCTGTGTTGATTTTGACTGTGTAATTATTGCTGGGGATTTTAACATTCATGTGGACAACCCTCAGGACAAAGGGACTAAAGACCTGAGTAACACTCTGGGCAACTTTGGGCTGACTCAGCATGTAACAGAGGCCACACATAATAGAGGACACACTCTTGACCTACTGATCTCCAAAGGCCTGAGCATTTCAAAGGTTACTGTGTCTGATGTGGGCCTGTCTGATCATTACTGTGTTTTCTTTGAAAGTAAAATCTCAGCCCACACAAATATATCAACAACAGTGATCACAAAACGGTGTATAACTGAACACAGTAGTGAGATATTTAACCAGGTCTTCCCATTAACACCTGACCTATCCAGAGGGTCAGTCAATGAGCTCGTCAATAGCTTCAATGCTAACATGTTAAATGTAATGGACACTATTGCTCCCATTAAGGTGAAGGTTATCTCTGGAAGGAAAAAGTCTCCATGGAGAAACTCCACACTGGTGAAAAATGAAAAAAGAGAGTGTAGGAAAGCTGAGCGCAGATGGAGAAAAACAAACCTCCAGGTTCATTATGACATTTATAAAGAGAAACTTCACAATTATAATTTACAACTGAGGAATGCAAGGAGGTCCTACTTCTCTGACATCATCACTAAAAACAGCCATAATGCTCGGGTCTTATTTTCTACAGCTGACAGGCTAACAAACCCTCCTGTGTCAGTGGCAGCTGAACTTCATTCGACCATGGCCTGCAATGACTTTGCCAAATTCTTCACTGAAAAAATACAAAAGATTAGACAAGCAATTGGTACATCAACAGCAGATCCAGGATATGTACTGTGTCCACCAAAAAACTGTTTAAACACCATGAAACAGTTTCAACCTATTAACAGCAAAGACCTGGAGGACATCTTAGGTCAACTGAACTCCTCCTGCTGTTTAGATGTCCTGCCAACAAGTTTTTTCAAAAAGGTCTCAAAGACTTTAGAGTCAGACCTGTTACAGATCGCCAACTTTTCTTTATTATCAGGTGTGTTTCCAGAATCACTAAAAACTGCTGTAATCAAACCTATACTGAAAAAGGACAATCTTGACAAGACACAAATGAACAACTACAGGCCGATCTCAAATCTCCCGTTTTTAAGTAAGATCATTGAAAAAGCAGTTTCCCAACAGCTCAGTTACTTCTTAAAACAGAATAATTGCTACGATGCCTTCCAGTCAGGTTTTAGACAGAACCACAGCACTGAAACCGCTCTGACCAAAGTGTTTAATGACATATGTCTGAATACAGACAGTGGAAAAATGTCAGTCTTAGTTTTACTGGATCTCAGTGCAGCATTTGATACAGTTGACCATAACATATTACTCAAACGACTGGAGAACTGGACAGGTCTTTCAGGAACTGTACTAAACTGGTTCAAAACATACGTAGAAAACAGGAAATACTTTGTATCAATAGGTAACTTCACATCTGAGCAGACAAGTATCACATGTGGAGTTCCCCAAGGTTCCATC